CATTCGTTTCTAATACTTTTCGTTCATCATTTTTGTTTTTTTTGTTGTTTTTTTTTTTCGAAAGAAAGGCGCAGCGACCAATCAATGAGCCGAATGAGCGGTTCGAGTACTGAGTAATTTTAAACGATTCCCCGGAGTATAATTAGTTGCCCCCTCGAAACGATCGTCCTGGTAAAGCAAAAAAAAAAATGTAAGTTATATATTTAAACAAACAAAAAAAATATGAAGAGAAAAACGATGAAGATGTTGTTGATGTGGAGATGATATATATACAGAGATGCAATATGTGTTTCCGGTTTCTGAAACAAAAGAAAAAAGCGGATGGGAACGTCGAGTGTGCAAAAGAAGCTTTAATTCAAATCAGGAGAGGAGAGTAATATACATTATATTACGTAAATGTATAATATCCGGATGGTGTCGCGTCTCGACCTGCAATACAACTATATATATATTATATATTATATTATTATATTTGAAGCAAAAAAAAATAATGAAAGAGATATGTGAAATATGAATTTATTTGTGAAGCGAGGAAGCGAGAAACAAAAGAGGGCGGACGCGACGACCCCACACAAGGCGTCCGCCTCTTGTATTTTTGTTAAATACAGTACAAATATAATCACGATTTATTACGTATTAAGACTTAGACTTGTAAGATGAAATCAAGATGTTCTGTTTTTATATATTTTGTTTTCTTTCTCTTTTCTTTTTATATATATACATACATACAATACATATTAATTAAACTCATCGAGAAACAGCAAAAGGCAAACTCGAACCAATCGAAAACACGCAGAATTCCATGATTGTTTTATAACCAAGGAAACCAGAACGTTGTTGTTTCCGTCGTCGTCGTGTTGATCATGACAACAAGAGAAACAACGTTCTCGTTTTCCTCGCAACGCATTTCAATTGTTCCGAATGTTGGCAATAATTTCTTGCAAAAAAAAAAAATAATGATTTTCTGTTGTTCACATTTTTTAAATTTTGAATTACATTTGTTTATATATTTTTTTTTTACATCGAATACGATGAAATTATTGTTAATATTTGCGATAGTCATCACCTCCACCACCTTTCATAAGCGAGTTTGCCCATCCATATACATACTGCATACATACATATAAACACTAAATATATATATATATAAAAATAGAACTGAAGTGTAGAAGAGATGAAGATTTTTTGGCATCATTGGATTTGCGCGACTCGGCTGAGACAAACAAAACAAAAATTATTGTATAAGATTGTAAAAGAAAAAAATTATTATATTTTGTTTGTTTGTAAATCAAACGATGATGATGATGAAGCAGTCCGAAATGATAATGTTGTATAAATGAATACAGTGATGTGCAATAATTTCAAATCAAATTTGGGTGCGCGATTAGAGATTTCCATTAGGGATGTTTAAATTATTATTCTTTATTATTTTTTTTTTGATCTCTTGGCATGTTGGAGAGTGTCGAAACGCGCACAAAAGTTATATAAATGTGTATATATATATTAAATATATATTTTTTTCGTTTGTCGAAAAATGAAGAAGAAAGGAAAAAATGATATATTCGAGCGGAATCTCTAATTCAACACTTCGTTTTTTTTTTTAAGTACACGAGACAACAAATTTTTCTCTTAATTTAGGTTTTTAATTAATGTTTTAAGTTTAATTTTACGTTTTTACTATTATTCTAATTAATTAATTAATTATCATTATTTACTTTTCTCTTTGTAAAAAGTCGGATCTCATGCATTCATATATTAGTTCTATATAATTATTTTCTTTCGTTTTCGTTTACGTATTTCCGAAATTAGGTTCTTTATTTTTTTTTTCGTTTTTTCATTCTCAAAATTCTTGATTCTTTAATTATTTAGTTCACACCCTTTCGTTTGCAATATTTTATGTTGATAATTCCTTCTTTGATATCATGTTATCATTTATTTTTTTTTTGTTTAAATTAATTATTATTTTTTTCGAGTCATCTCCATCCTTTATGAAAAACAACTGTGATACCTTTGAATCCCTCAACAAGAAAAGAAAAAGCAAATTTGAAAATGCAAACTAAATTTATTAAAACAAAAATTCCTCCTCCCCCAATTTTTCCCAACGCTCTTCGGAGATAAATATTTTTTTTGTTTTTTTTATTATTATTTTTTTTTGTTCTGACATATCTGTCAATTAATCCCTTTGCCCTTTACTCATATTCCCACCAACCTCGTTCCGTCCTCTTCCCTCCCCCATCCTTTCGATCCTTCCAAAAAATTTCCGGGACTACAGGTCCCAACAAAATTGTAATACAAAACGATTCAGTGTTTCATTAATGACACTTTAAATAACATTGATAATCTTCGGCGATCTCCTCTTCTGGACCAACTTCTGGGTTCGAACTTCAAGAACATTTGGATCGAAGCTGCAAGGATCCTCCTCCTCCTGGTACGATGTTTCATCTTGATCGGGTGAGCAAAGTTTCAATAAATTTTCTCCAAAAAAAAAATGTAGCAATTTCTTAATAACTTTCCATATAATGTTTACAAACAGATGTCAACTTCGATGAAGATTCATCATCAAGCAAGCTGTTGCAAGCTCATTATAATCCCAAAACAAAAAACCGTTAGTCGCACTTTGGCCTCCTACGATTAATCTGCGAATAAAAGGGGCATCATTGTTTGCGATTCGATTCAAAACTTACATAAATATCGCTGTTTTTTTTTTAATACACAATTAACGTAGCGTAATTGACGTTCTTATCTTCATTTTTTTTTTTGCAGCTCGTTATCTTCGTTCCATAGCCTCCCGATATAGAACAGCCTCAAAACAAAAACAAGCCTGCTTTATTTTATTTTTGTGTTTTTTTTTCAGCTTTATTTTTAGCAAATTCACGTAACATCTTCCGTTTTTTTTTTATTAACGGTCCAACCCGAATCAGGATAGAAAAATCGTTCGGAAAGATTGGGATTATTTTTAGTGGAAGAAGGAGAATAAGAAGAAACGAAAACAAAACCTGTGGAAGCGGTTTTTCCCCATCTGGAGATTGAAAGAAATATACGCGGATGTGTAAATCCACTTAAGCGTCGTGAGATTCGGAGCGTGTTTTTTGAAGAATACAAATGTATTTTCGGACTGTATTTTTTTTCTGTTTTGGTTTCATATTTATTTATTCTGTTTGTATTTAGGTCAAATTGTTATGAATTGGGATAAACGAAACACTGAGCTACGTCGATTGGGAAAAGTCCAATGTTTCTTTCTTATTCTGATGGAGATGTTGTTGTTGATGATGGTGTAAAAAGGAAAGGATGCAAATCGACGCGAAACCACTTTCTCCTCTAGTCGTTTAGAAAATTTTTCGAGTTTTGCAACGGACGCTTTCGAGAATATCACAAGCAGGCTGTGATCAATTCTGTGATTTTTTTTTGTTGTTGATGTTGTTGTGGAATAATATATTTGACGAGCGTCGTCGCTCTCTAAAACCGATTCTATTTTATTCTTTGCTACCCACATATACACTACAAACATTGATCTCAATAATTCATCGATCGGTTTAAAACACATGATAAATTTCGTAAAGAAACACATACTTTTTACTTTATAACTACAATATTCACTTGACCTAACTCAATTCAAAACTCATTACGAAACCTAAATTACATGTTCAAAAATTTACTTTCGAATTGAGCTTAAAAGTGTGTGTATATAATACATCAATATAAACTAATTAGTAAAGAGACATCAATTAAATTTATTAAAAAAAAAGATTTTACTTTTTTCTATAATTAAAACAATTCACATGACCTGACTCAATACAATTAATGTTATAAAACTTTAATTTAATTATCAAAATTTAAGAGTTGAAATTGTTTATTACT